TTTTTGAAAATTTATATCTTAAACTAGGCCTAGCTTAAGGGTTAGATAAGAGTACCTTAAACTTGAATATAGTTTAACTATGTTAGACTAGAATTTGTTTAAGAGTTGGTAAACATCAAATAGATTAGCCTTAGACTAAGAATAGTTTAAGGATATTGTTGAATGACAAATGATGAATATTGTATGATGTATGTTGAATAAAAATGTTGAATAATTGAATAATGAATGTTGAAAATTGTATATTGATTATTGAATATCTGAACTGAACATTATGTGCATGATATCAAATGGTTGATTATGAATTGAGATTCAATTTATGTGGATGTTCGACGCATTAGATATGCTTACTCAGCTTTACCGCTGAGCGTGTAGTGTGTTTTATTTGCTACACGCAGGTCAATATAATGATGTGACGTGATCCTGGAGGCAGACGGAGGCGAGATAGTCGGAATGGATGTGATGGTTTTGAATTAAAGAATATAGATAAATTATGTTTGTGGTTATGATTTGTTAAGCTTCCGCAATATTGAAAACTCTGTAATGTTTATGATATGAAAAATATTATTATGATAAATAAAAGTGTTTGAAAAGTTTTAAATTTTACGATTACCAAGTTAATACTTTAGTCCGAAAGGGGCTGCAGACCTGGACGGATTAGGGTGTTACAATTTGGTATCAGAGCAAATGGTTTTAAAACCGATCTTTGGAACAAAATTTGAAGTTAAAAAAAAAAAATTTAGTCAATCACATCCACGACTCTCGCGTCCCTCTGCTCCAGGAAAGGTATGAGAAATTACTTGGTAAATATTTACTCTGTTAGAATTCTCATTGAATAACAATTGATTAGTACTGAAATCGTATCGAGCAAAGACTCTAGTATAACTTTTGTACTCAGTAAAGAGACACAAGAATGAATGAAAAATATATGACCCTCTGATGCGTTATTAACGTACGCATCGCATCGCGACGAACGAAACTGATCTGCATCGCAAAATCGTGCGAAAATGAGGCGACTATGAAGAAACAATAATTGTTGGGAAGCATCTGTGAAGCCGATGTCAAAGACACTCATGTGGACTCACGACGATCTAATCGCTGATTCAAACACGAACGTTTAGAATCAATAAACTATGTTATCTAAAATATCTGATACTATTGTTTCACTCATTAGGACACATTATGCGATTACTTAATGTGAATTGAAATTGTTCGTTAAGCGACAATTCTTTGTAAAACATCGTTGAGGTACCATACAAGGAAAATCGACATTATCCTTAGTATGCATTAACTGACTGAACGTCGTTGCTGTTGTCAACTTGTGATGAAGAATTGCTCAACTGAAGACCATTGATGAAACCGTATATAGGTGAAAGCAAAGCTGATTTCTAAACCGACCGGGTTCATCTCGAATTTATGTACGCAAACCTCTCAACCAAAAGGAGCGTAAAGTCTTTTCGTGTGATACGCGAAAGAAAGATCTGAACTGAAGAAACGTATCAAACGTATGACACCTCTTTGATATGAACTTCCAATTATCTCATCGTTCCGAGAAATTGATTTCTCTGTCAATCTTGATCCTATAAAAGGACCAATATTTGTAACTCTGTGTTGAACGTGTTTCTGTCAATGACTTCCCGACAAAGAATCATCTGATCAAGTGTTTCCTCCTTGGGAGAATACCTGTTTTGTTCATACGCAAATCAATAAGACTCTATATCAACTACTGTCAGTTGAACAATTCGTTATCATTTACCTCGTATCATGACTTATTTGATCAGCTTAGAGAATCCATTATATTTTCTAAGATTGACTTACGGTCAAGATACTCACAAATCCTTGCTAAGAAACTTAAACAAACTGACGGTCGAGAATTGCTATCCTTTACTATGAACTGACGACTTATTCGATCAAATTCATATAACCTGCTTGTTAGAAGCTATAGACCGCTCAACCTTGTTCAATGAACTGGTGCCTTGTTATGAAGCGATTCATGACCTGATTGCCTATCATCGAAAACGTCGATGAAGTAAGTGATGCTGACAAAACAAATCATTAAGATAAATGACTCGTCCGGATATCATTTTGACGTGAAAAGATCGCGACTGTGGTGACGATATGACGTGAAACAGTGACACCGACAATGAAAGACTGAAGAAATGAAGAAAATGTAGTTTGTGCTGGCCATACAACGTTAAATAATATTTATGGATAATATTATTTCAACACAAAATACAACTGAGATTACATGAAGTAATATTACAAATGTAACTCCAAATCTAATCCCCCAGGATTTGCGAACTCGTCATAATTAGTCCCAAAAGCCGGAAAAGCTTTAGCAAACTCTAGTTTGTCTAAAAGCTCACCAACAAAGAAAGAAGAAATGAAAAGTTTTCTCTGACTGGAAGCCATGAAGTTCTGCCTCACCACATTGTTTAGAAATTTGATTAGGTTATTGAAATAACCATCAATGTTCAAAAGACCAATGGGTCTATTGTGTAATCCTTCAGAAGCCCACGAAATCAAGGTGAACAAACCTTCCATAGTGTCAACTCCTCCGGGAAGAATGATGAAAGCTTCCACGGCGTGATTCATCTCGAAATACTTGTAATAGTTGCTGGAAACTGTATGCTCTACACCGTAAGTAGGTCCGTAGACACCTCGTGTTGCTATGTAACCAGGAATGAAACCTCTAACGAGACCACCATTGGTAAAGACTGTTGAAGCAANCTATTGTGTAATCCTTCAGAAGCCCACGAAATCAAGGTGAACAAACCTTCCATAGTGTCAACTCCTCCGGGAAGAATGATGAAAGCTTCCACGGCGTGATTCATCTCGAAATACTTGTAATAGTTGCTGGAAACTGTATGCTCTACACCGTAAGTAGGTCCGTAGACACCTCGTGTTGCTATGTAACCAGGAATGAAACCTCTAACGAGACCACCATTGGTAAAGACTGTTGAAGCAACAGCTCCTTGAAGGCCAACACTACCTCCTCCATAGGCAAGTTTAATCTTTCGCCTCATCAATTCCCTTCCTAACTATACCGCAGTAGCCATAAACTTTGGATTTCTACCAAGAGAATGGCTACCAAGTAGACCAATGAATCTTATGGTATAAGGAAGTCTTTGAGAAGTTCCTTCCATAATGTGAGAATGTGAGATACCCTTATCACAATCATGCTATATATATATGGACTT